AATATCTTTAAAGTTACTCCTACTTGAAAGGTTTTTTAAAGTCACAATGGCTCTTTTCTATAAAGTATGGCTTATTCTTTCCTTTTGCTGAAAATCTGTGCATGTCTTCAGAGTATGCCAGAGAGAAAGTGAAGGGTGCAAGGATGCCACCTAAAGCCCAAGGACACAAGAAGGCATGGTGCAGTTGGAAGCTACACGACAAATACATTTTGTGGAATGGGTGATCTTTTGAAACACATCCTTATGCCGTGCCTAGTGTATTTTTCATAAAATGACATTCTAAGCATAAGCAGTGGCCTAAGCTCTCTTCCTGCTGCATTATTATGCTGTGGTATATGAGGAAGTATTTGGCCCAGACTCCAGTAATTTGAGAACAGCCTCCACCCCCAAAATAAAAAACCCAACAGGCAGGAATGAAGTTTGAGTGTGAAGGAACAGAGCAGCAATCAGTGAGATCTGTTGTGTGCTCTCTGGGCTGGGGGCTCACTCTGGCCTAGAGCTGAGCCTTACTGCTGTTAGCAGCCACCTTACCTGCTCCAGGGAGCAAAGGGCACAACTGGTGTTTCAGCAGCACTGAGGAGCAGGCATCCAAGTTAAACTGGAAAATGAGCTCCAACTGATACACACAACGACTCCCACAACTTTTGAAGGCATTTTTAGCCAGCCACCTGACCTATTTAGCCAAATAATGTGTTTGTCTTTTGTGTCTTCCTAAACTGAGCAGTCTGGAACTGAACTTTGAGGTTTAACTGCACCCCAGTGCAGCAGTGCCCGGCGCCAGGTGAAATCATACACAGTGCAGCCCACAAAAACAGGAGTGTTGGCTCTCTGGTTCAGACAGTTTGTGTATTAATTGAGAATCCCCCTTTTGGTCATTGCTGGTTGGTATTGGTATTTTTTTCTCAGTCAGCTGTTTATCACTTTATCAGTAGGTGGCAGTAATAGACGAGCCTGTGCAGCTTCTACTTGTAATAGGAATTTGGGAAAGAAAACACCCAATTTTAGGGTAAAGCTGCTCATTTTGTTTGTTCACAAGCGTGAGTGGTGTAAATGTACTTGACAAACTCAGACATACATCTTCCTCTAACACACAGAGAAGTTGTTCCCATACCAGTTCTGGTATTTATGGCTGTACTTAATTTAATACTGCTATAAAGCTGGATTCAATTAGATGCAAATGTACATTATTTACCTAAAGATTAAATGTGCAGGTGCCTGTAAAATTTTATGTAACACTAATTCTGGTAAGTTTGCACACTATTTTTCACACGTTACTATTTAAGTCAGTTTAATGATTGATCTTTAAGTATTAGATTCCTGTAAAAGAAGCCTGTATTTCCTGGGAACCACTCCTCCCCCAAGTTTTCTTTAGTCTCCTTGAAGAGACAAATCCATATTCTGATGCAGACCCAAAGGACAGACATAATTATGGCATTTTCTAGGAAAATTATGTATACAGATTTTTATCCCTATATAATGAAAAGACAGGAAAAACTATATAATCAGGTCCTCTCAAAGTACATATTTTGTTACTCCTTTGATATCAGAAATCCAGCTGGGTAAATGACTGCCTTATTGAAGCTTAGGCTTTAATATGCACCTCTACAGACTCTTGTTCCCAAAGTGTTCTTTCCTTCTGTTGGAGCTGATCCTGCTGTAAGTCACTGCAAAAATGCCTGGTTACAATATCATTATGCATAATTATTTACCTTAGTTCCACTGACAGCAAAGGTTGTATTTATTTTAACCTATGGTGTGGTGTAGAACAGCTCAGTGTAAACTTCCCTCCATATTTTTCTCCTTCTTTGACCATAATTTCATAGAGGTCATCTTAAAAAAATTGCCTATCAGCATCAGCCAAGTACCCTGCTACTAATTTAATACATGATATAGGAAGCAAATAAGGGGAAATTAGTATTTAATAGAGAGGAGGAATATAGTTTTTAGGATTGAAATGGTAGCATCTTAAATTCAAAGTAAACCAAGGAGATTAATCTGATGGAGGCAAAACAGCCAGCCCCACATGTGCTACCAAGACATTACAATTTACCACCAATCCATTGGGAACTCTTATTTCATCAGAGCAGCAAGTTGGGATATGAAGAAAGGATTACTCAAAATGTGTCAAACCTCCCTTGAATCCAATTCTGTTCTGAAGTTCTCACTCTGTGAGATGACAGCCCCAACTCACACAGTTAAGAGAAAGCACCCATTACTTTCTGGGCCTGAACTACAAATAAACAAGCATATTTATGACATATGAAATAGAGAGAGAGAGCAGTACAGTGTTAGGATGGCAGCAGGTCTGGTTTTGTTTTAATTGAAATTAGTAGGAATCAAATCAGACTGTTTGATGAAAATATAAACTCATTGCTTCAGCCTACAGGAAGCCTTTCTGTTTTGGAGAGCTTTGGAGTTTTTTTTATTTCATTCTATACTTCATGATATAATATGTATTCATTATTTAGAAAAATGTACAATATCATTCAGATATTTTTGTGTAGAGCTGGGACAACATGCTTAAGCATGAAACTCAAGTATCAATAGCAGATTATCCAAACTGCCTCAAAGGTCAAAGCAATACAAAATATAATAATGGCAAAGTAATTTTATGGCTTGCTGGGATTGGAGGAAAAGATATTATTTTAAATTTCTTTTAAGATTTTTGGATCAAGCTGGCATTGAAAAAAAAGCTAACCAGAAGATGCCATTCTCCTTCAGAGAGTAAATTTTTTGATGGTGTTCTTAAGGAAAGTAATATACTTTCATGCAATCCAAAGCTGTTACAATTTTATTTGTTGTGTTGATCTTCTAAGTTCTCCTCACCCTCTTCCCCTTCAAATTACTAATTTGACAACAGTATATCTTCATTCAAGGAACTGGTAAATAAGGCCCAAGGATATTAGAGAAAGATGTTTTGTTTTCTAGTAAGGAATTATGCTTCTACAGTTTAACCTCTTCAAACACATTATAGACATCTCCTAACATAAATATGCACTTTATGGTATTTCATGTATATATTTTTTTAAAATTGGAAGTATGAAATCATCTTAATAGATACACTTTCTTTTTTTTAACTTACTGAAATTTAAGAATTGATAAAAGAAGCCACAAACATGGGAACCAGCTGTTTAAAACATAACTCCAACACATTCACAACTCCTTGAAGAAAAATTTTGGATAAAAACCTGAAGATCAAAAGAATTACATTCTCCTCTTGTGAGTAGTAATTCTGGACTTTTGTAAATGTAGCTCTTACAAGCGCAGATGATCAAAAGCACTGAAATGTTTCAATCTCAGGATGTCAGACACTAACCCTAATCAGAAACAGAAAGCAAGTTGTTTGCAATACTGTAATAAGCTGCGGCAATTTTGTTATTTTAGATGGGAACCTTAATGATGAGCCTCAAATGCAAGTTGTTACAAAGCCTTTGAGACTAAAGCTGTATGCCCTATATTCTCCTCCCATGCTGTTCCAGTTAAAACCATACATGCGGAAGGACAAATGAAAATGTTGCCATGGTGATCAGAGCAGTTACCAAATCATGTACACTGTAGGAAGGATTCCCTAAAGAACCTTATTAAGCATTTTGTTGCTCTTTTTTTTAATAAATATTTTCAGAAAGCCTTTTTTTATTTCGCTGTCAATAAAATAGCTACTCAGTTAGCTAAACCCTATTTCTCTACCCTCAAAATAAAAGCACACCATACATATGAAAATAGTCTTGTTAAAAGTTAGGAGTGAGATTCCTTAAGCTGAAAACTTTGAAATAAGAGCCAAGAATGAGCCTACCAAAAATGATATCTGTTCAAGATGCTTGAATGTTTTTCAGCATAGGTATGTCAAGCCTGATAAGATACTGATGTCTTCAGCTGCCCAGTTCAAACACCAAATCTTTAAATGGAAGACATCCCAAAAGCCTATTGATTAAAAGGAATATGGTTATGTAGGGTTTTTTTACAATAACATTGGATGTAAGACATGAGGTGAGCTCTGCCAGCAGCAGCAGCACTGTCCAAAGCCCCCTGTCTCGTGTGCCCAGTCGGGTGAGGCACATTATCCAAGTTGAATGGCAAAGAAAACAAAACCTGTACAATGCAGACATCTTGTATTTCCACTGCACAAAACAGTACAACAGACATTGATGGAAATTGCTAAAAATAAGCTAGAGAAGGTACATGCACTTCGGGGTAAATGCACATGGCTTTGTTCACCAAGCAGCCCTTTATAGCATCTAAATTCAGCATTTAAGAACATCCCAAGGCCCTCAATTCCTCAGCTAGTTTTTGCCTTGGAGGTATTTAAGACGTTTATGGAATACAAGTTTGTGCAGAGGATGGGGGGAAGCTTGATCTTTATTGGTGGCTGTTCAGAGTCTCAGCTCAGACTGGTGCAGTTCTCCAACAAAATTGTCTCCTGCCTTATGGGGCTGGCTGATACACTGCACATATCAGGTACTGCAGAGAGACAACTGTCCTAATGCATCAGTTTGGAAAATAATTCACTTTTTTTTTTTTAATAAGGAGAAGAACAGAAAAATAGAAGTCTGTAAAGTAACAGTTGCTTCCATCAGGTGCTGTGCATGAGCTTAATTTTACTTCATGAAGAAGGCAGCCTTATTTCACACCTCATTCTTTTCCTCTCACTGCACTTTAAAGCTGAAATAAAAAGAAGCCCCAGAACCTCAACGAATTACTTGCTGACAACTTAACTACTCTGCAGCCACAAAATACGCAAACATAGTGGCTGTCAACACAGTGGTCTCACTGCATATCCTAGAACAACATTTATTTACCATTACTCTCCATCCCCATAAAGTCCTACTCTCATGGGCAAAAGCAGGTAGGGAGCTGCTCAGAAAATGTAATTCTTCTATCCCTGTGCTGTTCAGGGCAGTTTTACACCCCCACAGTAAAACCCTCAGGAACACTTATTTCACAGTTCAGTTTACTTTCTAAATAATTTAAATCATTGTAATTGAAAATAAGATACAAGCAACCACATTTTTCTACAGTTTTATTGATGTAATCCTGGTGTGTGACTATACATCTCCATTCTGTTCATAGCTACAATGGCACTTCACTAGGATTGTTTTTGTAGTCAAGTTTCTTACAGTCTTCAGAAAACATATTTATAGACACCACTTACTGGATAAGTCCGATCATTCTAAACACTGTAAATCACTGGGACTTTTCCCTAGATAGTGCTACTTGAGGAAAAGGTCACACTACTCTCTTTAGATAGAAATTTGTAAAGGCAATTGAATTGAATTCACCTTCCAAAGAAAATAGGATTGTTAAAAATAGCTTCAAGAATTGGTATGACTCATTTAGGTCCCAGAAAAATCTATGACTGGCAAAGACATCTACAATTTGATACTGTACTTGATATTTTCATTACAACCAAAAGAATGTTTATGAAGAACTGAAATTAAACTTTTACATTGCTCTGAAAGATAAGCATTACCTTGAATTTTTTAGGGTTTTTTTAAAAAAAAAAATTAGGGACTTTTTTTAACAGAAATTGCACTACCTTCCAAAAATATTGTAGTTATGGGGTAAGTGTTGACATCTGAAGAAAAAAATGCTAAAAGCATGCAACACTGATACCAAATTTTAGCAGATGACATTTTTAATTGAAAACTGACTCAAAGGATAGTACAAAAGAGTTTCTTCTCCCTAAAGGGATTTTCAGATGCAGGTACAGGAATAATAAGGGGATCTTCTCCAATGTGTGCATCACAATATGCCAATAAATCTGCTGCAGCCTTGGATACCTAATAGAGGTAGAAGAGAAGAGAGAACTACTGTAACACTTAATTCTGAACCAATCTAAATTGCATAAATATTTTTTCACAGAACAAATGATAATGTAAGCTATCATAAAACAAAGAGTAGATTGCTTTATCCTTTTAAATATTAGACACATCTCTCAATTTGCTCTTCCTAGGGCTAGTAATCCTTACACACTTTTTATCTAACGTAGTGACATAGATGGTATCAACTGACATCATCCACATCAAGCTGTTCCTCTCCATCACAAGGAGGTCAGGAGCACATAGTTATTAAAACATTTATATGTTAATCACCCATAAGCAATAAGGATTCTCCTTGAAGTGTCTGTTTCTGTAGAGAAACCTGCTTCAGCTCTTACTCCCATTCATTGGTTTTAAGGTTTTTCACACACACTCTCTCTCTGTCCTTTGTTCCTCTGGTGGCAAAATAAAAAGTTCTCTAGACACATGATCATGGGATTAAAAAGAAATAATAGATCACGAACAAAACTTGAACACCATGATTCATAGCTCTCATTTAAGCTAAATACTGCTCTTTTCAATGAAGCAAGACTAATGTCTTCTGCTCAGTAAATTACTATAAGTAGTTCTTTATTCACAGCATTCATTTAAACTTGAGCACTACCTTAATATTTTTAAACTTTATATTTTTTTACTTGTAAAATAAATAATTCTCAAGTCTCCAAGTTCAGAACATGGGTTTTTGCTTACTGAAAAGTCTACAAAAATACAAATACATACAAAAATGTAGCAGTGTGTTGAATACTTGCAATGCAAGCTGTAAAAAATGAAATATTAAACCTTGTAATTTTTTCAGCTTTGTGCTGTAAGAATATTGGTGGCAGTAGGCCATAGTGATTCATTAATTTTTTCAAGAATTTAGAAAGTATACACAATTTTTTTTTGTTCTGCTCAGTCAATAAGACATTCACAGCTATCTGTATCTCTTTACTTTGGTGAATTATTGGGTTTTCAATATTCTGGTAGTTGAAAAAATGAATTCTGGAGTCTTTACAAAGAAGTCTTTTCTTTGAGCACCATGACAGCTTGTCCCCCTTCCAACACCAAGGTCAGCATGTTTGCACAACTGGAGTGAAGAGAAGAAACAAATCACATTTCTGATATTTTTCTAGCAGGTGTTTCATCAGTGTTAGCTTTAAGCTTCCCCATGCCCTGCTTGTTTGCACATGGACCCAGCCCATAGCAGGCTTCAGATCAGACCTATGAAGTCAATGGGTATTGAATCAGAATTTGCATGAAATTTGAATCAACTTCTGAAGACAGTTACAGACTCTATTTCTTAATTTCTTTATTTTTAATTTCTGTATGCCTTTGTAGAATGCTTAAGCCTATGGAAAACATGTGGTTGGCACCCCACAGTGCCAACTATAGTATGGACTATCCCCCTAATGGAGGATATAAGAGTGTTAAGGTTATTTAAAATTAGTTTGTCTTTGAACTGGCCTGTAAGACAAAAGGGTGGCAAAGATACTACATGTGAACAGAAGGCTGCTGGGCACAGGTGAAACAGAAAACATAACATATCAGAAGAGATGTTCACAAGGACCAGTGCTTCTCAAGAAAGAAGCAGGTAAAACAAAAATGCATGGAAAGTTACAGACTTCAAAGTACAAAGGATTGTAATGATTTTCCTGTAATGATCTTGTTCGTTCCATGCATGGGTAAACAACATCAGCCCAAGTCTATTGCTTTTCATTCAATGGAAGAGAAGTACAATTTCAGACTTCATTCTTAAAAGGGATAAACCCAATAATATAATTTCCTGTTTCTCTACATATTGTTGTGCTTTGATACAATATAATAAACAAAAGGGAGTTTCACTAGAAAAAGCTCTACACGCATTTTTGTATCTAACTTATCCTGAAATGCTGGTAGGAAAGTTGTGAAGAAGAGCAATGCATTTCACAGAATCACCTGGGTTGAAAAAGACCTTTGAAATTATCAAGTCCAGCCTTTGACCTAATACCACCTTGTCAACTAGACCATGGCACTTGGTGCCACATCAGGGATGGCAACTCCGCCACCTCCCTGGGCACCCCACTCCAATGCCCTCTCACCCCTTCCTGTGAAGAAAAACCCTTCTTTCAATGTCACAGTGTTTAAGTCACATTTCAGTTTGCTTTTAAACAAACCATAGTACAATTTATTTAAAAACAAACCTGCAACAAGAAACTGAGGAATATGATCATTGTCACAAACTAAACCCACACTAGACCATATATTTTCATCCTTTAAACAAATAAAAGATTTTGAGGGGAAAATTCCTCCCACTGGGATTACAGGAGTCATAAAAGTGAATTATAACCATTTCTTCACTAAAAGTAGAGTAACTTAGGCCTGCACAGTGGAATAATGACCATTCACAATAGGGAGTTAAACGAGCTGATCACAGTCCAGGAGCGATGAAAACACGAGTTCCTGCAGTTGTGAGTGGTGTTGGCAAAGTCAGACCTGTGGCCCAAAAAACAGCAAAATACAATACTGCCTCCAGCAAGTTTCCTGCTCAGTGTCATTATTGGGAAGAGCAGTGGTGGAAGGCCTGTGCACAGAGCGTAGCACCAAGGCTCCAGCAGGGATGGCTGCTTTGGTACAGGCAGCACCCAGAGGTGTGGGCTGTGCTGTACATGTTGGTGTGCTGATTGTCCCACTGTGCTATGGAAGGGGTTAAATGGAGCCCACTCTAGCGTAGCTTTTACTCGCCTTTGGGGTTATTTGTAGCCCAACGTTGCTGGACAGCTTCAAAATTGCTCTTCCTAAGAATTAAAATAAATGCATGTGATTTGAATATTCAAATGAAGCTAACACATTTATCATGTCAGCTTTACTACTAATATGGCTTGGTCTGCAAATTCAAAGTAATTTATACATATTGCAGAAATGGCTAAAGAAAAAAATCAGACTCCAGTTTGATTGATGAATTCTATCAGGAAGTTAACATTTCATTCTTAAAAAATCTTTTAAGGTGTATAGATTAGAAGAGATGGAGTACATAGGTAGCACACTGATCTCACATTTTGTAGAATTACTTTTACTCTCTGTAGCAAAAACCACATCTGGTTATCAAATTAACAAAAGGGAAAAACAAATCTAACAAAACACTCAATCCTGGTGCTTTAAAGAATTAGTCTCAGGAGGACTCTGAAATTTTACCATTACATTTCAGATTAGCAGAGGTGATAAAAACTGCCATAGTTAGAACATCCTGTTAGCTGCACTAATAATTATAAGCTTCAGTGACAGGGCAAAAGGCTGCAATTATGATGTCTTCTGCCTTGTCATGGATTGTGACTAATTACCATCATTGCTACAACACCCACTCTGCTTATCCTTTACATCTAAAACAAAGAGATTCACACACATTTATTGGCATTCTCACTGTTTATCTCCCAACACTATTCAGGACCAGTTAGGAATACTTCCTATCTTCCTAAGGAAAAAGAAAATGGAATGGTAACTGATATACCAAGTGTCTTAAATGTCAGAGCACTCTTGCTTTTCTGCTTGCAAAGAGAAGATTAAGTAGTGCTTTATTCTGAGAACAACTCTGATAAACACCAATACTACCTTTGCTTTCTCAATTTTACTGCTAGCATTTTTAGAAGACACATCACACAGAGGTGTGTCACAAGGCCACTGTTCATCTGATTTACTTCGATTGTTCCTACCTAGGAATATGCATTTTCAGCTTCCTTCTTACTTCTGTTATAACTCTAGCTGTTCTTTTGCCAGGTAAGACAGGTTCAGTCATGATCCTTCTGGGATTCCTATTACGAAAAACCCACAGTAATCCTCCTTCCAACTACTGACCAGTAACTCTGTCCTCCTCTTTCGAGTCATCCTGTTTCTTTCTCACCTCAGCAGCGAGTTGTGTGTGGAACTTCAGAACACAGCACTGCTTTGCTGCTCTGACTGGCTAGAGGACTTAAGAGGACTCCTTAAATTAGTTGGAAAATCCAGAACACAGTGTGAAGTCAGCAACTATCAACCTACTTTTAACTACAACATTCTAATTGTGCAGACCCAACCCTTGCTGGTTACAGCAGCTACTGTGCTTGGGAAACAAAGTGCCTCTGCAGTAGAAAAATAAACAGAAACTTCTGATTTCCCCAGTCAATAACACAGACACCTCTTCAATCTTGGTAATGTGGTCTTGCCTATTGTGGCAATAACAACTTGGCTATGGTTATTTGCAAAATAGATTTAATTAAATTATTTGGAAAGCCCTGATCTTTTATTAAATGTCTAACTAGTTTAATCAGATGCAAAACACCAGAAAAAAAAGGAAGCAAGTTCATTTATCTGCCTTTACAGTGATGATTTGAGAACTTAAAATCTCCTGCTGAAACCACTGGAAAGCCTCTTGGTAAAATTTGGCTGTGCTGAAACACACACTTAAGTGATTCAAGATTAAAAAGCCAAGCAGATTTTAAAGGAATAAAAAGCCAATAAACTGCTTCTCACAATCCCTCATATGCTTGTTCGAAGAAATTCTAGAAATCAAGGCATTTTTTAAAAAATTTAGAAATTTTAGAAATCAAGGCTATATTTTATATTAGTATAGGAACCCTCTGAAATGTCAGATTTTCTTTGGTGTGCTCTTGGTCCCAGGCTGTTTCAAAAGGCAAACTAATTGCACTTTCAAGCTACCTGTTTTTTAGGTCTGCCACATTTGCTAATAACTGTGTTCTTTTTAATTAAATTGACTGTAAAAACAACCTGTGTCTTTCTTGCAGCTATGTCTTTCTTACATTCGTAATTAAGAACGTTATACACCCACCTAATGAAGCTATTTGCATAACTGACCTAATGATGTGGGACATGACAGTTACCACTGCATATGTGGAAGCAGGTTTAAGACAATCCACTAAGTATCAACAATTTCAAATGCCAGTAAACTGGACCATATTTTTCCAACCCTTTCCTCTGCCACCCACACCCTCCCCTGCCAGCTCTGTTCAGGCAGCTGCAATAGGACCTGAGCTGGGACAGACCAAGGCAGACCTTCTTTTACTGCAGGAAACAAACACCTGTCCCTGTGAACAGGAATTATTCTTATTTGGAAACAGGAATTTGTGACACACTAAGAAATAAAGAAACTACTTTTGCAAATTCAATGGTCTTACAGACATTGCTAAAAACTGCCACAAAACTGAAAACTGAGTGACTGAAATTTCTTTTTACATATGAGCAAGACTGACCACTCATGCAATTGCACTAATGTATATGAATTGTAAATACTACTTTTCCAGCTGGTGAGTTTGTGATCTGAGGTTATTTTAAAAATCCTAAATATATACTATGCCTGCACTGACTGCATGCAGACTTTCAGCACACAGGATGGATGGACAAATAGACTGCATTAAGACTACATGAAGATTTTAATGTACAACATTTCTAAATTATCCTACTGACATAATAATCTCAGTTACAGTTTGCAAAAACTCAGTTACAGTTTGCAGAGAACTGGGTCATTTCAATGCATTACTTTTTAAAGATGGAAAGACTAAAAACTTCTTCCATGTAGAGACTAGATTTTTTATCAATATAAGTATTCCCTATATTCAGAGGCAAAGAGCAAAATAAATGAGCATTGCTTTCTTAAAAGGTTTTGTGGCATTATTAGCTTCTAGGTGCTTGGTATTTCACAAAATTTTAGCCTAGTGGAAAGCAGAATGACATGCAAGAATAATCCACAGGATTTTTTGGTTAAAAAAAATTAAAACCTCTGTTTAATAGTGCCTCTAATGATAATATTTCATGTATTTAGAGGTATGATGAAACCAAATCTTCACATACAACATGTTATCAAGTGTGAAGAATCATAACTTTGCACACTGCAATCATACACATTCTTTGTGCAATGATGCGTGCACTAAAACTAAACAAAGCAAAGCAATTCAGCTTGTGCCATCATTATTCAAAAATTTTGCAATACCTTAAACACTTATTCCAATTCTTAAAGGAGAAAAACCAAGAAACCAGAGCTGCACTTAAATTCAGCTACAGATGACAAAGAAGAACACCTGTGCACCTGCTGGCTGATTTTAAGTATTTCACAAAGTACTGCTTTTGACAAATGTAACAGACACTCACACAGCAGCAGGCTTGAAGACAGGCTTTGGAAATTGCTTCACTAGAACCCACCAGTCAGTATGTAACCCACAGTACTGAATATTGTTTAATTGCTCAATACAGATTCTTGATTTCTGCATTATTAAAAGCATGCTGTTCCACAAACTAGTCAGTGAATTAAAAGTATCAACAATAAGTCTAAGTTTACCTTTATTCTATCCATGTATGCTTCCATTTTTAATTGCTCCACAGCTTTCCTGGCTTGAGAAATACTGGTTGTACTGTTTGACACTAGTTCCTTCATTTTGTTTTTCCTGGAAGAGACAAAGTTGAGACCATTTAAAGAAGGGGTGGGAAATGCAGCAATCACTGAGAGGAGTTATCTGAACTCTACCCAACCCATTGCCCACCACATCAGCACTGCCAGGCTGTTGGTCACGAATACACAGCAGACAGCATTTATTTCTGTTCTCTTGCTCCATGGCACCTTTTTGCATGACATATTTGCATCCTCAATCGTCAGCATTCTGCCTGAATCCTGCAAATGACATACAAATGCAGAGCACATGACCATGACTTCAGTGTGAAAATGGTTGCCCTGGTTCACGTTGCCAACGCAGAACAGCTGCTCACAAACAGACCTTGCAGGCATTGCACAGTTTGGCTCCACGCCCCAGTTACACCTAGAAACATCAAAACAAGCTCAGAAATGTGTGCAGTGGAAACGAATACCACACTGCTCCCAACAAGCATCAGAGAGAAATTGTAAGGTAGAGAATGAGTCAGAATTCTGACTATCAATGAAAGAAGTTTAGAAATGAGGTAACAGATTAAGAAGAAATAATGCAGTGGTTTCCAATGTTTAGCTTAGACATCCCCAGCAAAGTGCAAAGGTGACTAAACCCATTACAGTACACTGCCCAGGACAGGAATGCTTTACTTCTTAAGGGATTTGCAGCTCTTGGGAAGGGACATCTAGGTAAGGTATGTCAGTGTTTGGTTCTGTTGCACTGCTACTCCCTGAGGGATGAGGTGTAAATCAGCTCAATATCCAGCAGTCCTCAGCACTGTTACCAAATGAGTAGAGACACATTCAGACCTTGACTAAATTACAATATTATTTATGCCAGAGGTGGTCTGTGTGTTAGACCCCCTTGTGCTGACACCTCTACACAGCACTGGTCCAGCACAAGGAACAGTCACTATTTTGAAGTCACTGGAGGTTGGACCAAGGCCACATGGAAAGATGATGGGCTACAGATGTCCTAGGCAGGTCGCAGACTAGCTGTACTACCTAGTAAGATGATGCTGAGGTTCCAAACAGGCAACATTCTCCTGTGGTCCTTACCACAAGTGCCACCTGCAGCCAGATTAGTCTGGCACCAAGCCTCAGAAGCCAATGCAAAGTTCAGCAAAATGCAAAGGACATGGGGTGTGAGAGGCAGATGGGACACAGGAGAAAAACACACACAAGGAGGCATTTTGCACTGCTGCTAAAGCAGTTTTAGGCTCAAGCCTATCAAAATGGATACTTCCAGCTTATTTCTGGATAAGAAGCAAATGCCTAGAACCACACAAATTTCCTTTCTTGAACCTTGATAGCTTACCTGATCTAGTCACTGGGGTGTAAGATACAAACAGGAAATAAAGTAGGATGCTGGAAATGCTCTTGTAAAAAACCTGTATGTAAAATGTCCCTGTTAGACTCAAGAGAAATACACAATCCATTGTACAGAAAGAATGGAGGAATAATTTTTTAACTACTTTTATTCTGCAAAACACAAATGCTCAGAGACAAGGCAAAGACAGTTGTTTCTTCTCACAGCCTGGTATGAAACAGACTGTTTCTAAAAATCAGTAACCTGTGCTGTAAAACAGGATGGTGGAACACAAATGCCATGGTGAGCCATGCTCAACAGTAATTTGAAGAAACAATATAACCTTTTTCTTTCAGGTCTAGTATTATTCAAGGCAGGGAAATGCTACTTTAAAATATATTAATTGTGCCAAACAAAACAAGAGCTTTAACATATGCCAAGACAAAGAACAGGTTTTCTGCCTATACATGTGTCATTTGAATGTAACACTAGTTTCCCCCTTGAGTACTCTGATGAAATAAAATCATGTCAGAACACAGCAGGTTCTTTGTCTTCATCTTTGTTTACCATTTTTTAACTCATATTCCTCACAAAGCAAAGGACTGAATACATGTGGAGGAACTGGCTTTGCATAAAATGCCATGTACCGTAGAAAATCCACAACCAAGCCACAGCCTCCTATCAGTTTCGAGATGTGTTTTGACTTGCAGTGGAAAGTCAAACAGCAGAAAGGATACAAGACATTCACAAAAGAAGAAAGTTCTGAATTACAGCTCATCACTGAACTTTATGTTTGGCTCAATCCCCTCACTTTTAAGTATCAACCTACCCATAAAAATTAGAATAAACACGTCTAGCTTTGTTTACAAAATGATACCCTCACAAGAGTAAATCATTTAAATTTTATCATCTACACATCTATCTTACTAATGATCACAAAGCCAAAAAAAGTCAAAGTAGAGGCCCTTCTACATTTGCTACATACATTTAAATTAAACTGAATTAAGCAACTGCGACTCCTTGAACAGTCCAGAGAATTCCAAATCTCCTAATTTTTTCTGGCAATTCATTCACTCATACTGTAAAAGCTACAAACATTAGTGTTAGACAATTTGAACTCTGCTGACTACAACAAAGTTGGCAAGAACACAGGTCATAGTACTTCCAGCCAGTGTTTAAGCATTTACAGAATAAGGGTTAAGTCCAGAGCAGAATTTTGAAAAGGCTATTAGGCATAAAAATGCTTCTAAAAATTCAAACCATGTTTCTAAAGCAATGCCACAAAGATAATATATCCTTACCTATATTCTAAAACAACAAATAGGAACATTTAAAAAAAGAAAATATGTATCTTGCCTAGTAAAGCATTTCACAGTATCAGAAAACAACCAGAATATGAGGCTTCATAAAAAAATAACTTTAAAAACAAAAAAAGTCTGGCACTAGGCATTTCAGACACTGGAGAAAATTTCCACTTACCCCCAGCAAGAGGTTTGTTTATATTCTGAAGCATAAACATTTGTTCTGTTCCAAATCCTGTTCCAACCTTGGCCTTTACATGCATTTAAATATTTAACTACTGTATCTCTGGAAGTGTTTAGCATCCATTTAAGTATTTAATTTCAATTTTTTACAGACAGGCCTGGTTCCTAAACTTTATGAGGCTGACTTCTCCTCACATACCAAGTTACACATACCTCTACCTTCTCTCACTCTCTGCAAACACATTACGTATCTGTGCATCATTTAAGGCCCTGCTACATGTGGTGTGATGATGAAAATGAGAATTGCACTCACTTTCAAACCAGGCTTTGATAAAGGTCCTTATTGCACACATAGCTTTGTAGTGGCACTTGATTCTGCTCTCCTTAGGATCTATGCTAATAACCTTAAACTTAATATTATTTAATGAAATAAAATTGTTACTTAGAAATAAAGCTCTGGAGAGAACAGAAATTTTAATTACAAGAGAATCTATTACACACCCATTCTCTGGAATGTGAGGAAGCCTCTCCTTCAAACACCCTCTTGCAGGATGTGTTTCGTCTGAGGCTGCAGCCTGACATGTGGATCTCATCCTCTCTCTTAAGATGAAACCTCTTAAACTGTCCAAGTATTCTCTAGGCCTTTATTCCCACAGGAAGACACATTTATCTTTATATTGTACCTGGGTGGGCAGTCTACAGGAGCATGGAATGGTTTATATTGGAAGGCCCCTGCATTGAGTAGGATCATCTACTATAACAAGTTGCTCAGGGTCCTATCCAGCTGACCTGGAATGTTTCCAGGGATGGGGCATCCACCACTTCTCTGGGTAACCTGTTACTGTGTTTCTCCACACCCACCATAATTTTTTTCCCCCTTATATCTAGTTTGAATCGACCCTCTTTTAGTTTAAACCCATTACCCTTTGTCCTTCCACAACTGGCCCTGCTAAAAATTCTGTACCAGTTTTTCTTTTAACCCTCTTTTTATTACTGAAAGGCTGCAATAAGGTCTCCTAGGAGCCTTTGCTTCTCTAGGATGAACAACTCTAACTCTTTCAGATATTCCTCATAGGAGAGGTGCTCCAGCCCCTAGATATCCTGGTGTCCCTCCCCTGGACTCGCTCCAACAGGTCCGTGTCCTTCCCATGCTGGGGACCCCAGAGGTGGATGCAGTGTAGGGTCACACCAGAGCTGAGTAGAGGGGCAAAATCACCTCCCTTGACCTGCTGACCACATTGCTTTTGATGTTTAAAAGGAGCAACTCCTCCCCATCGTTTGAATTACCTAAAACCCCTTGAACCAGAAATTCTCAGCTGGATTTGCTCATTCCTGGCTGTTTTTACGGTGGATCAATACAGGCACACACACAGGTCCTGATAATCCCTGTAGTTACAGTAACTGTGCTATCGAGCAGCCTACTTGCAGTCTACATGTTACTGCTGCAGCCAGCAGACCTGGATTATACAGGAGCTCATTTATCCAGCGCAGTTTTGTGCAGCACACCCAGTTCATTGACCTGGTCTCCGTTGACTCCTCTTTTTAGGGGAACACCGACCACGCTAGCAAAAAACAGTGACAGCAGCTACACAGCCTTTTTTAGCCAAACAGCTTCTGCTGACTGGCACCCCACACCAGACAGCCCTTTCCTAAAGCATCACTTCTGAAAGCTGCACATTGACAGCCTCCCTGCCAGCTGCATTTTCTGGCGTTTTGTTTACCTCACTTCATCCTTTTTCTGGGTGCATGTAACTCATGTGTGCCGAAGTTCCTTATTTCCCAGGCTCCTAAAAATGCTTGCGAAGAGCAGCTTTTCCTTTTTCGTTTTTATAATGGATGATTGTACCCAACAGCACTTCAAAGGCAAATTTATCTTATGATAATGCAGAAAGCTGCATAAATATTTGCAGGTATAGCTTGATGCTGCATTGGGGTAAGGAGTGCAACCCTCACTTACTAAACATTATAAATGCTTGTTAGTAAAATGCAGAAAAAGTCTAAAAACTTGCATAACACAGAAGCAAAACTGAATTTTCAAGCTCTTTGAGATGGATTTCTATAAGTATCAACGAAGAAAAGATGCAATTTCCCCCCATCTAGCTCCAAGTACAATCTTAAAATGCCATACCATAAAAGTGACCTCTCGAATTCAATCTAAAAAGCCCTAAACCAAATTGCTGCCTTAATCTAAAGTGATGGACCTGAAATTACTCGATTAAAAAACCAAGGGTTGACAACTCTGAAGAACACCTCCCACACAAGCTCTGTACTTCTTGGACCACACAGCCCAATAGGAAAGTTAACCCCATCATTCAACTAAGTCCCAGTGACATTAGTGGGAATCATCCCTGGATAATGACCTGTAAATCACATCCTAAATTGAGGAAAGATCATCACATTTCATTATCCACTTGCAGGAACATAAACAGCAAAATTTACAGCCTCGTGGCTGTTCAATGCCAAACTGGTATACTGAAGAAATTAAAAGATAAACAAACAAACAAACAAACAAACAAAAAGAAATTGAAAGAAACCCAACTTCCTCTGCTATCTCAGTTCTTACTCTAAGATTTACAGCAACTGATGTACCTCAGTAAAGAGAGAGGGAGGCTAAGGAATCCTTTTCTTTCTCTATCTCATGGCTGCACAAAGGAAAACAAGAAAATTACTACAGTTTTTCACTCCATCTCCTAAAGAGAAGCTTAGTAGTACAAGCAGAAATTATTAGATTAAAGACAACGATTTTTTACGATAAGGAAAGAATGCAATTTTCATACCATAAACGTGGTGACTTTGAAAATAACTTCTCATCTAACTGCAAATCAGCGAAACTCCAACAGCTCAGTTCTCATCTAACACATACAGTCCTATATCGAGTCCATCGCAAGTTCCAAAAATTCTTGCTGTCATACCCAAATTTTTACTCAAAAATATGATCTTCCTTCTCAACATTAAAAAAATCAAAGGAAACAATGGCTGAACTAATGTGATATTTCCCATAGACAATATTTTCGTGCAGTATTATTTATCATCAGCATACAGGTTACGTGAACATATAGCCCAGCTAACCATCAGATTTGGAAAGTCTGAAGCAGAAAGATTATTCCTGGCTACTGTTTTACCCCTTTAGCTAATTTTGAAAGCTAGCTGTGAGCTTTCAAAGAAGTACACAGGGAATTTTGATTATTCTACTTGAACCCCGCTTACACCTATGTGAACAGAATTGTAACCCACAAGGTAGGGAGAGCGCCTGCGGGAAGCTCGGCACTGCATCTCCTGCAGGGCAGAAGCGTTTTTCAAGTTGTTATTCCGAGTTTTCTGTCTCACTGCACTGCCCTAATGGCTCTGCTGTGCAGCAGCTCCCAGCGCCACACATCAGCGATTACCGCCAGCAGCAGCCGGGCAGCGGGAGTTGTTCCTCCCTCAGCGCCAGCCAGTCCGCAGGAAAAGCGGACACTTCCTTGAGCCTTCGCCCCAGGCAGCTGGCGGAGGAGGAAGGAGCACGCCGGGCAGAGACCCCCTCCCCGCCGCCCGCGGGATACCTGGGCTCGGGGCGGGTTCTCGGAGAAGGATGTTCCCCGCCGGTGCCAGCGACAACGGAGCCCAAAGCCCGACGCCGACTCCTGCGGATAACCGGGAAACTCCGGCTCGCGCGGCCGCCGCCTGCCCTCGTCTATCCGCAGCAGCCCACGGGAGCAGCGGGCGCGGCCCCGAGAGTTTCCCAGGACACCGGCGCCCACCGCG